AGCTAGGGATTAACTTTTTCCTCTGGAAGAACGTGCGGCAATTGAAGAGCCGCAAAGTGGTCACAGGGACACAAGAGCGCAGCCAGAGCAAGAAGACTGAAGACACTCAAAAACAGCCAAAACAGGAGCTGAAGCAGGACTAAACCAGGACTAAACCAGGACTAAACCAGGACTAAACCAGGACTGACAATGGGGGACACAGTGCTTGTGAACATACTGTATGCCTCCAGCCTGAGTTCTCATTCCCAGTGACTGTAAACAACGTGTTCGCCAACATAACAAATGTATTTATCTAGGTTTTTTTTATTTATTTTTTAAAGAAAAAACAATAATAATCGATATTGACTGATATACATCACTTATTTAGTTTTCAGCCATATCGCCCAGCTAGATCAAATACTTAATACATTGATAAATGATAAAATGGCTTCACTTTTTTCGCTCCCTGCACTGAACTCAAAGATCCGATATAAAACTGTATCTAAAACCTTTTTTTCTCTAAATTTGAATGCAAGGGTGTCAAAATCTGTGTCCGAGAGCAGAACAGAGATAATCCACCCTACCTGAATGACATGATCTGGTCCTATTTAAACATAACCCATTACCACTACTGTATACTTACTTTAAAGCTGATTTACCACTGTTCTTATCTTTTTCAACTTCATATTTGACATCCTCCCTCTCTTTGTACCTGCAGATGAGACCTTTCAACCCACAAGACAGATTTGCGCATTAAAAGATGGTTTTGTTAGATTAAAATAATGTGTCCCAGCGTGGGCTTAGCTTGTTAAAAAGTGTCTGGAATGCGGTCTCTGGAGGAAAGGCAGGCGAGCCCGGAGCTGTGTGGAGCAGGTGCCACTAAAACGACTTATGAACACTGTTGTCGATTGGTGCTTGTATACTTGTATTAAGATATGCAACATCATTTTTTTGTTTTCTCGTACATGACTTAAAGTGACCTATTGTACAGTCTGACAGTGGTGGGAATGAAGTGCCTAGCGCTCCTTCACTCCTTAGCTCCTTAGCTCCTCTACAGTATCTATCATATTCTATGTTATAGTACTATTTACTAAATACTATATAATATATATTCCAGCATCCATTCCGGGTCTGCTGAAGTTGTTTAAAACCTGTAAAACCCTTGACCACACATTTTACACACCAAGACGTGTTAGGAGCAGTAGGGGTGGGTCCTGGCTCAAAAATGTCCGTGAGCATGTGCGCTGACATGCTTGAAATATCACGGGGGGTGAACCCGAAAGAGACTTATCCAAAGCTTTTCTGTGGCATCTTCTTTCCTCTTAAAAGGGCTTCACAGGGTGGTCCAAAAGTCGACACTTGGCTCAATGCTATACCTTCTAGATGTGTGTCAATGCTGAAGGGCGTATATATTTTTTGGACCAATCTAGTTTAGCCGCTATGGACTTTTGAATGCACTTGTTAAATGAATGGGGCTCATGCCAGCTAATGCATGTGCAAATGCGTTTTTTTTTCTGCCCCACGGGCATTTTTAAACTGCCCACAGAAGGCAATAGTGATGGCACATTAGTTTCAACGGAGATAGGCGTGACTACGTCAGTTAATGTGTGGTCAGGAGTCACCGTACCGGTGCGTCGCCCTCGTGGGCTGGTGTGCACATGTTAATGATGGCTGCTGCTGATTAAGAAAGATAAAAGCTGGGGTACCCAACTTTGTTTGCCCCAAAATAAAGAGTCTTCCTTTTTTAAAATAACAAAATTCTGCGAACAAATCAGAACAAAACATGTTATTTTTTCCTTACAGATTAGCTGAGTGAGCTTGTCAACTCTTTATCACTTTTCCACCTGAAAAAGCTGATTTGACTTGAGATTTGTCCACTATCACTTTACTGAGCCACTTTGTCCCAGACCCTCATGCTGCTGACATGTGCAGATGTAGAAATTCAACTAAACTGATAAAGTGCACGTTTGATGAGACCCAAAGAGGCTTTGCAGCATTGTTCCTTCACTCCACACACAGTGGGGGTAATAATGCTGTCATTCTCCTGAAGCACATGGCTGTTCTAACATATCTGACAAACATGATTTGAGCAAGCTCAGACGCCGCTCTCCCAGTCTCCCCACTGCCTCCCATCTCTCGACTCGCTTGTTTGTTTTTTCACCAACACCAGATCAGAGAATCAAACAGCTGAAACACTGGAAATGCAACAATAACAAACTCATAGGAGCTTTTGGTCCATAGGCAGCGGGATAGATCCATGTTAATACATGTCCAAACATATCCATAAATGTCTATAAATGACATGAACGACTGTATAAAATAATGAAATATTTTGTGTGCCCGGAGAGGCTCTCTGTCAGCCCCAGCGTTAACGCAAGTGCCGCCGATGATGTTGCAGTGGAGTATAACACCGGCTTCTTTAGAATGTATGTTTTTGCATGTTACATGTAGGAAACAGCCCTGTGAGTCACTGTTTGGCACAAAATAAAGGTGGTCCTTTTTTCCACTTTTCTGGCAGAACAAGTCAACCTTAAGATGTGACAGAGAAGTGCATGCGAAAGCTAGTGATAAAACCGAACAGTTTCATAGTGAGGAACAAGTGGATGTTATTACAGAGTTCTATTGTTGTAGCATGAGAGTTGAGTTGCCCAGCTTTATGTCCTGACCTGCATTTTTTATGTGTACAGAAGCCAGATCCCGTAAGAACTCTGAAGCTGCACACGGCAGGGCCTGGTTAGTACTGTGATGGGAGACCTCTAGGAACATCGGGTGCCACAGTGGGGCAGCTGCGGCTGTAGAGTGCCAAACTGTAATTGTGTCCTTAGGCAAGACACTACACCCACATTGTCTAGAATGAGTCTGGTGTGTGGTTGGAGGGGCTGATGGCATATACTGGTTGCTTCGCTTCAGTCAGTGTGCTCCAGGGCACCTGTGGCTACTGCATGGGAGAAGAATAATGACATGCGAAGTGTCTTTGCGTGTCCTGAAAGGCGTTACATAAAACCAATGCATTATTATTATTATCATTACAGCGAGCAGAAGCCCCTGTCCCTGGTCTCAACAGTGTGAAATTCAGTTCTTGTAGACGTGTGTGCGTGCGGAGGAGGTGTGGGTGCAGGAGCGTGGGCGTCAGCTGTCCTTGCTGCTGTTGTCTACAGAGCAGTGAATGCACCGAGCCGAGTGTGAATGCGCCGCGCCGACACAGCGGCCTTGAGGCGCGGGTGAAAAACTCTTCATTCCGCACTGGAATATTTTTATTTACACTTTTTGTTAAAGCTGCGGTAACTAATTTCTTCATGTTGAATGGATTGAATAAGGCCACTGAAAAATGGCATGTTTTTATACGTTTGACCAAAACAATCTCCAAGAGATACAGGGGACTTTCCTTTTGATATGATAGATTTGATATGGTTCAACAAAAAATAAAGCCTTTTCGTTCCTTATCCAAGTTTAATCCTAATTAAACTTGAATAAGGTTTATTCAAGTTTAATAATATAACTGATAACAACTATCTGTTATCTGATAGTTAACTGATATCTGATAACTGATAGTTGATAACAACTATCAGTTATATTACATTTATTGAAGACTGGTCTTAAAGACAAAATATCCCAAAAAATCAAGGGAGAGAATTATATTTTATCCACTAAAATTTTACTTTTATCATTCCTCTAAAAGAGATAACTTGCTACACATTGGGATGTTAAAACAAAAAATACTTTTAAAATGAATTCTGTAGTCATTCTCAGTATATTTTAGTCCATGAATGGTTCAAAAAAAATAATCAGGCAAGGAAAGGAAAGTATTTGTATAGCACAGATGATACACATACAAATTCCCAGGTCAACGCTCTGGACGAAAAGTGACCTGCCTCGGGCAGGCCCGGATACTACATTAGAAACTAAGTTTTGAGTTATATGTACAGCTAAATGTCTTGGTTTTCAATCTGGATTTGAACATTTTCAGGAAGACTGTTTTAGATTTAAGCTGCTCTGAAATTCTGCCTTCCTGTGTCTAGTCTTGACTCTGGGCAGCAGCTCCAGTCCCTGTGCTCCTCTGAGTCCCAGCAGGAGGCCAGTCCCTGTGCTCCTCTGAGTCCCAGCAGGAGGCCAGTCCCTCTGCTCCTCTGAGTCCCAGCAGGAGGCCAGTCCCTGTGCTCCTCTGAGTCCCAGCAGGAGGCCAGTCCCTCTGCTCCTCTGAGTCCCAGCAGGAGGCCAGTCCCTCTGCTCCTCTGAGTCCCAGCAGGAGGCCAGTCCCTCTGCTCCTCTGAGTTGGCTCAAATGGCACTAACATGTCGTTACAGATGTACTTTGGGGTGAGGCCATGGAGAGCCTTGTGCACAAGCAGAGCAAAGTTTATTCTCTGAGCCAGCGCAGAGACCTGAGAACTGTAGGCTATTATGTCAGAGGCTAGTATTTATTTATTTCAATAATCAATTAGTTGTGATTCATGAATTCACTTGTTACAGCCTATTTCCAGAGAAATAACTGTGTGAAAACAAAATATTATGAACACGTCTGACTAAAGCTTTTGTCATTCCCAAACGGGCGACTAAATCATTCAACAGCTGAGACCGTAGGTATGAATTGAGTTACATGATTATATATAACCCCTCAAAAGTACGGAAACAAGCCAGCAAAAAAAAAAAAAAAGTATCGTTTTATTTTAATATAGTTTGCCTTTTTACTACATTTGTTTACAGTTTGTGTTAAAGTGGTTTATTCAACTTTTAAAAGATGCAAAGATAATATGAATGCACCGATTTTAATCAGCACTTTTTTGGGCAATATTTATTCACTCCATACATGGTGGTGATAAACTACTACTGTTGTCCGCCCTGCGTTGGGGCATGAAGTGAGGCAAGTCTGTGCCATCGGCCCCTCAGTGCACCTGTGCAATCATGTGTCTTGACTAGGGTCACAACAACAGCAGCCCGCCTCACTGTGACAACTGGAGTTCCCAGAAATCTAACATCACATTACTAACCAGCTGTTTTCCCGCTGTGGACACAGCAGCCAGGTCAAAGCACCACGGCCTTCTCCTGCAGGTCCTTTGGGTCAACCAGAGACAATCCCAATGCCAGTCCCTCTACAGCAGGGGTCTCAAACCGGTTCCAGACTGAGCAGGAGCACCGATGACTCCACCCATTTCCTCAATTCTTCAGGTTAAACTATACTCACCTGAGGAAATGGGTGGAGTCATCTGTGCTCCTGCTCAGTTTGGAGCTGTTGGAAGTAAAACCTGCAGCCACATGGCCCATTCTGGAACCGGTTTGAGACCCCTTCTCTACAGTCAATTTCTCTTCTAAATACAAGGTCACTGACATCATTTTGACACCCTCTGACTTATCGGGGCATGTAGCCCAATTTTGCACCTGCTAAAGATAACAAAAACTTCTTTGCTCATTTTTCACACACTACATATGACAACAACATCGCTTCTGTCCCTTCTACTCTAAGAGATAATGACCTTGACACAGCGTTATCTGCATCTTGAATTATTAAATTGGACAGGTTCTGTCCTCCCTACCAAGTGTCCCAGACAGTGTGCCCTCTCCCACAACAGATACAAGCACAAACTTATGCCACAAAATCAGGATTTTCAGATGCAGTTGTCCTGCCTAGCTTCAGCGGTCTGCCAGGAGGTGGCGCCACACTGTTTCACTGAAAAAATGCAATGATAGCAAATGTTCATTGTTCATCCCTGCAGACCACAACATGGTGGCCTTGATAGAAATGTGGCTTTTGCATACTTAAGAAAGAGCCCTGTGAGGCTCAGAGCTGATTGGCTGGCAGATTGTGGCCCTCCTTTTCTCTTCTGTGGCTGAAAAATCTGAACCGTAGATAGATCATTTCATGTTTAAAATGTATACTTTGTAAGCCACATACTTACTTTGTATACTTGAGTGTAGGTGAGGGTATACCTGAATGTCTTTGGTGATCCCAGTTAGACATGCACCGTGCAGCCCTACTCAGATTCACACATTTCTACTGCGTGGCTCAGCTGGGTCTGTTCCCAGATGGTACGAGAACGTCCCAGGAGAGGGAGGCTCTGGGGTCTGGCCCCCGTGGAACACCACATACTGTACATGATTGTAACACAGCTGAAATCTACCGTCTATTTATACAGACATATATTTATTTAGGCCACTTAAAGAACACATATTATGCATTTTTCTCTCTCCCTAAAACATAACGTGACTATTTACTTTGTAGCTTTCAGAATAAGAAATCATTAAGTAGATATGCAAGTATAAAGTATGGACAACAGATCTGTCAAGAACTGCATTTGCCCAGAAAAATTACAAAATTAATTTGGAGGGGAAACTTTGGTTTTAGAAGGCAGAAAGTTGCTCTGAACACGATACATTATGGAAGCATTTCTCACTGCAGATTTGAGACGGGCGTGTTTGTGACATCAGAGTGGATGTTGTCCGAATAAACTCCGGGTCCGTCTTTGATGAGGAAACTATATTGTAACACAGGCCGCTTCGCACAGTGCAAAGTGTTTGTCTATGAGACTGAAAAGCAGGAGATTCTGCAAACCATGTTCGTCAGTGAAAGTATAGGACGACGCTTCAGAGTCGGTCTTTTTCTTGTTGCACACAAAGCTTTCTTTTGTTTGCAAACATAAAAAATCAATCTTATTCATAAAGATACACTGCTGTTTTGAAGGCAGTAATATAACAGTAAACTTTAACCGGAGATACTTTTGCCTTGAGATTATTTCAATCTCTATCCTTGTTCTTCATTGTACCTCAAGCACATCCCCCCTCGCTGCCCAGTGGCGGAAACGTAATAATTATATTGATTCACATTGGCTGTCCGTTGTGGAGGTTAGGCTATAATCTCTGCAAAACGTGGGGGCGGTTAAAGTGACCATTTTAATGTACTTTAAAACCATGCAAAAAAAATGATACAATGTTACAATACAATACAATACAATGTATTCTTGTATAGCCCTAGGTCACAACAGAAGTCATCTCAGAGGACTTAACAAAACCATTGAAATCACCAACACAGGTCAGAGAATCAACAGTTAAAACACATGAAAAATATAAAGCACACATAGAAGAAAATGTCCATACATGTTGTAGAATGCTAAAGTGTCCTGATCATCACGTTATCAACCACCATGGGTTGCTGTGCCCATGGTGGCGGCATCTTGCCTTTCCAGAGCCTATTCCAAGTCTGCCAAAGTTGCTCTTAGGCTACTTCACCGACATGGTGTGCATGTGCCATGACTTCGATGGACTGTCTCCGCCCAGGTTAATGATGACAGCCACGGTCGCATTAAAGCTGGAGTTCAAACTTTTGTTTCATAAATACATTTTGTTCGTCAAAACAGAAAGACAGTGTCATCTTAGTGGGTTACCGCCTCGTAGTGTCGTCACATAGAGTCTTTCCAGCAGCTAATATGATCGTCTCGTGTCTTTCTCCTCTTTTTAAATGGTACAAAAATCTCCCAAATAACTTTAGTTTAACTCTGCATACATAATTCTAAATACTTACCTATACTTGTCCACCTCCTGGATTTCACCTCAGTTCCTCCAAGTGTACATGTGCATGTGTGCAGGAAATGAATTGAAACAAGGTGAACTTGTGGGAGTAATGTCCCATGGCGGCAGTGCTCTTGCTGGTCCTACACATTTATTTATCCAGGCTAGAATACATCATCCATACACTGTCATCCATTCATCTTCTGCACAGGTTTCCAGTTTCTGCTGTGATGAGAAGGACGAGCAGCACGATGAAATGGTGCGGTGTTGAAAATGATGTACCTTTGTTAAAAATAGGAGTTAACACTGGGAAACCTAACTGGTAAATATGTGAGAACTCTAGTTTAGACAGCACTAAAACTATAGACTATTGCTGATATGTGGGTCAGGGGAAGGACGTTACACCACTACACAAGAGTGACTCCAGGGAATTTACTTTGCATAATGACAGCGTAACAATGAAGCGTTTATGGGATTTAAATCATTTGATAACATTGTTTTTAATCAACGTTAATATTTCAAATGGGTCTAATGTGTAATGGTGAGCAAAAGTATTATAGATTCTCTTCAAAGAGCTGGGTCTAAGAGCCACATGCTCTGTATTTTTAACCTTATTGTAATGCTCCTTAAAGTATATATTTGTATTAGTGCTGTCCAATATGAATGGCATGGTTAACTTGCAATTAATTGCAGATTTGTATCATCTTTATAAACTTTTTTTCACGCTCATACTTGATGCAAAATGTCATAACATGTTGTCAATGAACAAATGTATAACATAATTTTAAAGCGTTTGAGTTTACGCACGCAACCGTTGTGGTGAGTGACGGGCACTGACGCGTCCGTCACGCACCGTGCATTCAAGCAATAGGCCTTTATGCTGGGTTCACACCAAACGCGTTTTGGGCGTCCAAAGTGTCAAGTTTATATATAAAATACTTTTAGGACGCGCTTCTAGGAGCGTCAAGAGATTCTGCGGCGCGTCACGCGCCTCCCGAGCAACACGTCTTTGAGCGTTTCGGGCGGCGCATTTTGAGATTTCAACCGTTTTGACGCGGGTCACGCACGGCCGATGCTAGAGTTGAACATTGTTGAACTTTTTGGGAGAAGACGCGAGCGTCGATCAATCAGGAGGAGGGTTAGTGAGGAGGTTGGTGTCTCCGGTAAGTTATTTAAACTTTTCATAATTGTTAATACTTCCCCGCGCAGAACCTACAATGTCGTCTTTAGGGAGAAACAAACCCATAGATCACATATTAAAGCTACACAGAGGAAACAGTCCATGGAGACAGCAGCTTTAGTTTGCCTTCATGTAGAATGCTAACACTGTTATCTGTATTCATATTAAATAGATTGTGTATATCGTTTTTAATCCCATACTGAGACTGGGAATACTGTATATTTATTTGCATTTACTGTATTTATTAGGCTTATTATGAAGCACTTTTTTATACAATAGTCTTGATAAATATATATATATTAAATAAAAGCATATTATACAGATGTTTCTTTTGTCATTAATAAAAGACATTTGCAGATGACAGTCTCACTTCCAACAGGTTTGAAGTGGTTAGCCATGCTTCTAAGTTTTATTTGTGTGAATATTTCCATTATATTATTCTTCTGTTCCTCCTCAGAGCGTCTGTTTCTCCTGCTGTGAACGATTTTACCTCTAATATTTAATACGGGAAGGATTTCTGTGTTTTATTTTGTGGTGTCCATGTTTTAATTTGATGTTTGCGTTCTTTTTCAGAGAGTTCTGGTGAAACGGAATTCTGACTTTCTCTGACAGCAACAAAAACACACGCCATCATTTCCAGCTTCACCTCCATCACCTCCTGCTTCACCTTCATCACCTTCTGCTTCACCTTCATCACCTCCTGCTTCACCTTCATCACCTCCTGCTTCACCTCCATCACCTCCTGCTTCACTGTGAATTTACAATATGAAATCCAACAAACATATTTTCATGTTTTATTTAATCATCAGTCATGAATAGTTAGAACAGTGGGATCTGCATCAAGACGAGGGGCATCAGCAGCAGCAACAGGAGCAACAGCAGCAGGAGCAACAGCAGAGCCCTGGGCGTCTGCCTCTGACACAACAGTCTACAGTGTGCGCTTCATAGAGAGCCTGGAAATAAAAAATAAAATAAATCAAACTTGTTGATTTTATTATGATTTAGTTTTTTGTATCTGAAGTGTAAGTATCATGAAAAGTGAGGTATTATTTACACAGATACATATTTGTCAGCAGTACTTATACTTCTACTTGAATACATTAAACTCAAATATGATTAGTAACAGTGTGTTGCTTTTCAAGACTTCAAAAAGAGCAGTTTTCAGGCATCTCCTGTGTTCAACTCCGTTTTGATGATGTGTGTTATTATTAACGGACATCAATGGATATCCATGGATGTTCCAGTTATTATTAAAGATCCATGTATGTTCCAGTTATTATTATAGATCCATAGATGTTCCAGTTATTATTATAGTTCCATGGATGTTCCAGTTAGTTCCATGGATGCTCAATAAATTACAGGACTAAATCAAACTAAAATCCATAGTAAAACAGTAAAATAATAAAAAAAACATGTGCATATATGTATAAATATAACATTGTATGTATAAAAATAACATTGAAAAGATGGAATAAAAAAATAAAAATAAAAATAATAATACAAATAAAAGGACCATACAAACCACGCAGTGTTAAAAACCAGAGAATAAAAATGGGTCTTAAGACGAGACTTAAAACACTCCACTGAAGGAGCAGTTTGGATATGAGGGGGCAGAGCATTCCACAGCTTTGGTCCAGCCACAGAGAAGGCCTTGTTCCCACGGGTTTTAAGTCTCGTCCTCGGTACCACAAGCTGGAGCTGGCCCTCGGACCTCAGCGCGCGGGGCGGATGGTAAATTTGGATGAGGTCCGAGATGTAAGGAGAGGCCAATCCGTTCAAGGCTTTAAAAACAAACAATAAAATCTTAAAAATGATTCTAAAATGAACAGGAAGCCAGTGCAACGATACCAGAATTGGTGTGATGTGATCGCGGCTTCTGCTTCCTGTTAAAAGTCGTGCTTCTGAGTTTTGGACCAACTGCAGATGGGAAAGTGCGTTTTGGGGGATGCCCGCATAAAGTGCATTGCAATCGTCCAGGCGAGAAGAAATAAAAACGTGCATGACCTGCTCAAAAAGATTAAAAGATAAAAAAGATTTAACGTTAGATAAAAGTCGCAAATGATGAAAGCTTGATTTTAAAACGCGATTAATCTGCTTATCAAGTTTAAAATCACTGTCAAAGATGACGCCAAGGTTGGTGACTGTGGGGCGCACATGGTCTTTTAAGGGCCCCAAGTCCATGAGGGGGGCGCTAGGGCCAAACAAAATGACCTCCGTCTTACTTTCATTCAGTTTAAGAAAGTTTTGCGCCAACCAATCCTTGACATCACTTGGACAGTTAAGGAGGGGTGTCAGGGGGATGTGATCATTTTTTTATCAATGGCATGTAAATCTGACAATCATCAGCGTAAAAATGATAAGAAATGCCATGTTATAAAAAAAATTCGCCAAGTGGGAGGAGGTATGGGCAAAGAGCAAAGGGCCAAGAATTGAGCCCTGGGGAACTCCACAGTGCAAAGGGGCAGAGGTGCGGTGGAGTCCCCCAGCCTTAAGGAATTGTCATTTTGGTGCTTGAAGCTTTTGACGCGAGTGTCGCGCCTGACGCCGGTGGGAGGAGCTTCTCTGTTGCCTGTAGTCAGACAGCGGTGGATTTTCCAGAGAGCAGGAGCCTTTATTTGTTTTATAAAGCCAAATAATGTTGTCGTAGGGTTTCTACAAAACATGTTCTGAGGGGTTTCTAAAAGACCGTAATCTACTGCTGCATTGAATGCAGTTGAAAAGGTCTCTACAGTTGCTGGCTTAATTGAGCGGCTATGATACATAGGACATGTCGGTCCTGATTCATTGTGCACCGTTTGACCAAAAAGAACAGGACTGTGGTCAGAAAATACTGCATACCCAACAGATATATCGACCACAGGAAGACCATAAGACAGCACAAGGTCTAACGTTCGGCAATGTATTTGCGTGGGGCCACTCACATGTTGAGTCAAATTGAAGACCTCAACCAAATCTAAAAACTCTTGGGCCAAGGGCTTTGAAGGACAGCATACATGCACATTATAATCCCCAACCAGTAACATCTTGTCATAACGTGTTGACATAAGAGCCATAAAATCAGAGAAGTCCTTGATGAAGTTTCTTTTGTATTTTGGTGGTCTGTATACAACAGCACACAACACAGGCTCAGTTTGACGCAGCTCCAAACAGCTCAGTTCAAACAACGAAAAAGGCTCCGGGGATAAAATCTTATGGTAGAGAGAGTTCTTTAACACAGTAGCTCTGCCACCACCACAACCAGTGGCTCTTGGCACATTAATAAAAGTACAGTTGGGGGGTAAAAGCTCGGAGAAGGCAGCTGACTCACCGCTGTTGACCCACGTCTCAACCAGAAACAATAAATCCAATGACTGCGACGTAAAAAGGTCTCGCAGGATAAATGTCTTGTTCACAATTGATCTAGCGTTCAGGAGTGCGCATTTCACAGCAGCAGTTGACCCGCAGGCCGCTGGATCTACCCGGCTCAGTGGGCGAAGGTTTCCTGGAGTAACACCGCTAGTATCCCGGGTAGAGCGACCCTGGCGCAGCGCACAGACGTCCTCCTCCTGCTGTCCGAGCACGGGAACCAACCAGGAGCCAATGGACACAAGCTTGCGTCTGGACACATCACGCTGAAAGCAGCTGCCAAAGTCTGCTGGGACTGAATGGGACTTCGCGGAGCCCGGAGAAAACGCCAGCCAGGCCTTTAGCTTTAAGAGCCGGCCGGCTCGCACTCCACGCCGGCGTTTACGCTTCCTTGGCAGGGGCGCATTCACGCACCGGAGACAGTCGGGCAAATCCGCCAGGTATAATGAATCCGACTGGTTTGCATCATGAATCATGCAGGGATTTACTCTTAATCCAATAGTTAGCAGCTTCTGGCGATTGTACACAATCAGTCTATGGTCCTTGTGAAATGTGTTAAAAACAATATAAAGCTGATCAAACAGAGCAGAGTCAAGCGACGAACCAGACACCCTGGGGCCATCTTTTTCATATAAATAAAATATCACTTTATAAAAGCCAATGATTACTGCCAATACAATTGTTATAACAGAGAAAGTCCGTAACAAAAGCCCCGTCTTTGAGTTTTCAGAATTAAGATTGTGAGAGGTCCACTGTGTCCCCGCGTTTAGACGCTCTGTCCTCGGCTTCAGCACTGCCCGACCCCCGCTGTCAGCACCGGAGGAAAAGTCCAACAATGTTCTGTTTGATCACCAAACAGACCTCTGATATGACAATAGAGGGGGGTATTTCTCGCCTCAAATGTTATTAGAAGTAACTTTTATGTCCTATTTAAAGCGTATTTTAAACTTTTTACCTTCCACCTGTGCTGCTGTGTCTCCGAATTGTGTTGAGTTGAACAGAGAAGCCCCTCCCCAAAACTCTCTTCCTGACGCGACTCCAGAACGCTGCCCTCTAGTGTCCTGGACGCGTGTGACGTGCCTCCAGAACGCTCTGTGACAGCGTCTGCCACAATATGTCATAAGCGTACCAAGACGCGCGTCAGATTTTTACGCCCAAAATGTGTTTGGTCTGAACGCAGCATTACCCGTTAGGGGCCTAGATATAAACCAGTTTTTCTCCTTCTGTGCTTCTAACACGGGTATGCTAACGCAGGTATGCGTCCACCGTCACAGGGAAACTAGCAGATGAGTTAGTATCAGGTCATTGTTCAAACATAAAGATTATTAAAGATTACCTGAAGGTTTGTGGCTCCAACCCGTGGTGACCCCAGGACCTCATGAAGCTCAGGGACTAGAGCCTGCGGAGAAACAGAGACGAGAACCAAACACAACAAAACTATCTTTGTTCTTTTAACAAATCATGCACCGATAATAATGTTCCAATAACTCTTGATTTCTTAGTCTATGACCTTTGCAGATTTGAAATACACCTTAACCAACCTAAAGCTCGAGCCTTAGACTTTATGTAGATATACACTAGAATCATGTGTTTTTAGTCTCGCCTAAAAGAACACGTTTATAAAAACCTTGTTTAATGAGAGTAATGACACGCAGCTATAACATGGTTTCTCTCTCTTTACGTCACTTTAAGTCTTTAAGTCTCTCTTTACGTCACTTTAGTCTTTAAGTCTCTCTTTACGTCACTTTAAGACTTTAAGTCTCTCTTTACGTCACTTTAAGACTTTAAGTCTCTCTTTACGTCACTTTAAGACTTTAAGTCCCTCTTTACATCACTTTAAGACTTTAAGTCCCTCTTTAAAAGCTATCGTGTTTTGGAAACCAAAACAAATGTACTTTGACAAACTGAACTCTGAACTCTGGGTCGTTATTCATTCATAGTTTATTTAGTTGGAACAGTACATGTCGATGATCACTCCAGTATCTTGGAATAATTTCAATCCGCTGTCCCACATTCGCTCTCACAAACACTCACTCATTCACCCTGACCTATTGTACATGTTTTTTAGTGGTAGGGGAAACCGGAGTACCCGGAGGAAACCTACGCAGACACGGGGAGAACATGCAAACTCCACTCAGAAAGGCCCTGTTCCGACCAGTATTCAAAACCAGGACCTTCTTGCTGAGAGGCAAGAGTGCTAACCACTCTGCCACCGTGCTGCCCCGATGGTCGTTGTGAGAATATTCACTTGTGTAGCACTGCTTGTTCTGCATGAGACACAAGTTGTTGTGTTGCTGTGGATTAACACACATGCAGCAACCAATCACAGAGCAGTAAAGTGATCACAGGGACACGAGCCAATCAGAGAAAGAGAAACCCAAAAGGACGAGGACTGAACCAGGACTGGCCTAGAACACGACCGGGATTAAACCAGGACTAAACTTAAACTAAACCAGGATCAAACCAGGGCGAAACAGGACTAAACCAGCACTAGACCAGGAACAAACCAGGTATAAACCAGTACTAGACCAGGAACAAACCAGGAACAAACAGGAACAAACCAGGAATAAACCAGGACTAGACTAGGACTAGACCAGGAACAAACCAGGAACAAACCAGAAATAAACCAGGACTAGACCAGGACTAAACCAGGAATAAACCAGGAATAGACCAGGAACAAACCAGGATTAAACCAGGAACAAACCAGGATTAAACCAGGACTAAACAAGGACTAAACCAGGATTAAACAAGGACTAGACCTAAACTAAACCAGGACCAAAACGGGATCAAACCAGGACTAAACCAGGAATAAACCAGGAATAAACCGGGAATAGACCAGGAATAAACCAGGAACAAACCAGGAACAAACCAGGAATAAACCAGGAATAGACCACGAACAAACCAGGAATAAACCAGGACTAGACCAGGACTAAACCAGGAATAAACTAGGACTAGACCAGGAACAAACCAGGAACAAACCAGGAATAAACAAGGACTAGACCAGGACTAGACCAGGACTAAACCAGGCCCAAAACTAGAATAAACCAGGATTAGAAAAGGACAAAACCAGGAAAAAACAGGACAAAACCAGGACTAGACCAAGACTAAACCAGGATTCAACCAGGACTAAACTGGGGCTAGAACAGGACTAGAAAAGGACTAAACCAGGATTAAATCGGGACTAAATCGGGACTAAATCGGGACTAAATTAGGACTACAACAGGACTAAACCAGGACTAGACTAGGATTAAACCAGGACTAAACCAGGACTAGAGAAGGATTAAACTAGGATTAAACCAGGTGTGACTGGGGAGGACAAAGTGCTGCTAACTGACTATGAACAAGTGCTGCTAACTGACTGTGAACAAGTGCTGCTAACTGACTGTGAACAAGTGCTGCTAACTGACTATGAACAAGTGCTGCTAACTGACTGTGAACAAGTGCTAACGAGACTGTACGGTGTTTCTGCGACACGCGAACCGACTGTAGTGGACGTTACCCCCATGTTTCCCCCCCCTTACAGACCCTCTCGGAGGTAGGTGAGGATATAGGCCTCTCCCTGAGGCCACACCTACCCTGAAGATGCCCCCACCTTCCAGACTCCCTCGGAGGGAGGTGAGGATGTAGGCCTCCCTCTCCCTGAGGCCACACCTACCCTCAAGTTCCCCCTACCTTACATACCCTCTTGGAGGTAGGTGAGGATGTAGGCCTCTCCCTGAGGCCACACCTTCCCTCAAGTTGCCCCCCCCATACAGACCCTCTCGGAGGGAAGTGAGGATGTAGGCCTCCCTCTCCCTGAGGCCACACCTACCCTCAAGATGCCCCCACCTTACAGACCCTCTCGGAGGGAAGTGAGGATGTAGGCCTCCCTCTCCCTGAGGCCACACCTTCCCTCAAGATGCCCCCACCTTACAGACCCTCTCGGAGGTAGGTGAGGATGTAGGCCTCCCTCTCCCTGAGGCCACACCTACCCTCAAGATGCCCCCACCTTACAGACCCTCTCGGAGGTAGGTGAGGATGTAGGCCTCTCCCTGAGGCCATACCTACCCTCAAGATACCCCCACCTTACAGACCCTCTCGGCGGTAGTGAGGATGTAGGCCTCTCCCTGAGGCCACACCTACCCTCAAGTTGCCCCCCCCATACAGACCCTCTCGGAGGTAGGTGAGGATGTAGGCCTCCCTCTCCCTGAGGCCACACACCGTCTTCCTGTCGGTCTGGGACACCGTCCTATCATTGTAGGTCAACCATGGCTCTTTGGCCCCGCCCTCTGGGTCCACCCCGTCACTGATGTAATGACCTAAACACACAAGATGGACTTTCAGTCACTCAACAAGACAAATCTGAACTTTCTGTAGAATCTCTGAGAATCCTATTATCGTACCTGAATTAGTGGACGGTCCCAAATGAGAAATTACGTTCACCAGATTTAACTGTGCTGTGTCCTGAAAAAAAGAGCATTATACATTTGAGACATAATATAAGGAACATATGCACTCTTTGTTCTGTAGATTCACTACAGCACTTTTTTCAGTCAATTCTCACCTGTTTGGATTTGACGACAATCCTCTTGTCCAGTTTGACCTTGTATTTGAGTTTTTGCATATTCCAGTTGTGGTCATATGCAAACCTCTTGAGGTGGAGGATTAGGACACTGAATAAAGAAATAACGTTAAAGTTGCTTCAGGATGTATTCGTTGATGATGTTGAGACTTACTTTGGCAGAGTTGCAAAGGCTGCAGTCATCCCAGAAAGTCTGCCTTCACACCCACATCTGAACTCCAGCTCTGTTTCCTGAAAGGCACTTATTGGATTATTTTTCTGATGCCGAACAAACACAGGGGTTTAATACTGTCATGTTTAGCACATACCTTTAAATGGTTCTGCAGGAGTTCGTCTACAGACCTATCAGGAAGCAGGTCCAGGGAGAGGATGGTAAAGGTCTCCTGCCTCGAGGACCCCTGACCGCAGCTGACAGACACAACATGAGAAAGTTAGACAGTAGTCATCGAGTTTCATCTAAATGTTAAAGCAATGGACTCAGAACATGTTTACACCATGAGACTGAAGTCCAAAGTGCTGCTGTATCAGAGGCCATGAGGCAAAGTACTGGATGTATACTTACTTCTTACAGGTCCTAATGCTGTCCATGCAGAAGGTCACGTGCTGTGACACTGGACAGACGTACTCCAGCTCCTGGCTCCAGGCAAACACCTGCAAGATGGAGCTCAGGCCCTGAATCTGCTCCATCAGCGACATAAGGAACTCATGGACATCCTGCCAGTGAAAAATCACACTCAGTCAGACTCATGGAGGGTTAAACAGACAATACTTTCACATTACGGATGAAGCAAAGGAGAAGATGGATTCACCTGCTGCTCTGAGCCTCCAAACATGGGAGCAGAGACCGCCACAGTCTGCCTGAAGCTCTGCACCAGCGTCGTCATGCACACAGAGGCCTCTGTGTAGGGGGCTTCTGCCAGGTCATGGATGTTCCTGTGGGGACAGGACACGTTAACTACACATCTAGAGGTACAAACTTGGCTGTAAATACAATCCCAGCTTTAGTCCAAACAGCTGCTCCTCACCTCAGCAGCTCTGCTTCCTCGCAGTGAGTCCAAACAGTCGCCTGAGCGCTGAGCGTGGACATGACAGGTTCTGCTGTCCTCAGCAGCTGTACAACGGCGTTCTGGTAACACCAGTAAGCACCGTTTGGGAGTCTGCAAATACACAATGGATCATTGACCTGTGACACCATCACCTTACTGTCCTTCATCATGTGGTCCATACTCACCCACAGTTTTCCAAGTTCAGCCTTCTTTTTCTGGACCTTCCTGCATCACCCACAAGCTCAAGGTCGGTCTCAGAGAGGACTTTTACCGAGGTCATTGGCTCCCCCATGGAGAGGTGCGCAGGGAGAGGGTTGGGCTCCTCATCCTCCTCATCCTCATCCTCGGTGTCTGTCGTCTGGTCCCAAATTATGGACTGGACGAAAGTATTGGTCTGGTCCTCCTCTGTGGTCTGGACCTCCACTGTAGTCTGGTCCTCTTCTGTGGTCTGGACCTCCACTGTAGTCTGGTCCTCTTCTGTGGTCTGGACCTCCACTGTAGTCTGGTCCTCTTCTGTGGTCTGGACCTCCACTGTAGTCTGGTCCTCTTCTGTGGTCTGGACCTCTTCTGTGGTCTGGACCTCCACTGTAGTCTGGTCCTCTTCTGTGGTCTGGACCTCCACTGTAGTCTGGTCCTCTTCTGTGGTCTGGACCTCCACTGTAGTCTGGTCCTCTTCTGTGGTCTGGACCTCTTCCGTGGTCTGGACCTCTTCTGTGGTCTGGTCCTCTTCTGTGGTCTGGACCTCCACTGTAGTCTGGTCCTCTTCTGTGGTCTGGACCTCCACTGTAGTCTGGTCCTCTTCTGTGGTCTGGACCTCCACTGTAGTCTGGTCCTCTTCTGTGGTCTGGACCTCCACTGTAGTCTGGTCCTCTTCTGTGGTCTGGACCTCCACTGTAGTCTGGACCTCTTCTGTGGTCTGGACCTCCACTGTAGTCTGGTCCTCTTCTGTGGTCTGGACCTCCACTGTAGTCTGGTCCTCTTCTGTGGTCTGGACCTCCACTGTAGTCTGGTCCTCTTCTGTGGTCTGGACCTCCACTGTAGTCTGGACCTCTTCTGTGGTCTGGACCTCTTCTGTGGTCTGGACCTCCACTGTAGTCTGGTCCTCTTCTGTGGTCTGGACCTCCACTGTAGTCTGGTCCTCTTCTGTGGTCTGGACCTCCACTGTAGTCTGGTCCTCTTCTGTGGTCTGGACCTCTCCGTGGTCTGGACCTCTTCTGTGGTCTGGTCCTCTTCTGTGGTCTGGACCTCCACTGTAGTCTGGTCCTCTTCTGTGGTCTGGACCTCCACTGTAGTCTGGTCCTCTTCTGTGGTCTGGACCTCCACTGTAGTCTGGTCCTCTTCTGTGGTCTGGACCTCCACTGTAGTCTGGTCCTCTTCTGTGGTCTGGACCTCCACTGTAGTCTGGACCTCTTCTGTGGTCTGGACCTCCACTGTAGTCTGGTCCTCTTCTGTGGTCTGGACCTCCACTGTAGTCTGGTCCTCTTCTGTGGTCTGGACCTCCACTGTAGTCTGGTCCTCTTCTGTGGTCTGGACCTCCACTGTAGTCTGGACCTCTTCTGTGGTCTGGACCTCCACTGTAGTCTGGTCCTCTTCTGTGGTCTGGACCTCCACTGTAGTCTGGTCCTCTTCTGTGGTCTGGACCTCTTCCGTGGTCTGGTCCTCTTCTGTGGTCTGGTGCTCCTCTGTGGTCTGGTGCTCCTCTGTGGTCTGGCCAGGGAGCAGCACATCCAGGTCTTTGGGGACAGACTCTGACAGGGCCTCGTCCATGTGGGGCAGACCATCCTCCTCTGGGGTCTCCTCTATAAGTGTGAGGGGGGCGGGGGAAGGAGGCGTGGACAGTGGCTGGGCTCTGGAGCTGGAAAAGGCAACACAAACATTAATATTAGGACTTTCAGCAGAGAACCTTGAAGGCTCTGAGAGGAAGATGTGGATTACCGTGGTGCTGGTGTGGCCGGCTGAGCCACTCTGTGCGTCCTCTGATGGAGAAGAGAGAAGTTTACCCTGAAGCTCCTGGTGAGCCAGGAAAAACCGTGGGCAGACCTTGCACCACTGAAAAGATAAAGTCACAGTGAGTTTGATGATGAAATAAAAGCATGTTGAACAGAGAGGAGACTGTTCTTACCGGCGGAGATGCTGCAGACTTTGGTTTTGTTCCTGCGGCACATGGCAAAACATGCGCCGCAACCAAACATATTTGCTGCGCTTTGGTCGAGGGGAGCTGTGGCAGAGAAACACACCATTAGGTCCAATCCCACAGTTCAGAAAGACTCAGATATGAATTTGAGTGTTTTGTGTGAATAAACAGCTTCCACATGTTTAGTACCTTTGTGCCTCACTGGGGGCGCTCTCCCTCTGGGAATCCTGTGCTGAGGATTTCTGATGAAACAAAAAAGATCCAACATGAACTTTAGAAACAAAATAAACAACAAAGATCCAGGGGTCAATCATGTCACGAACACTTATATTTAACTTAATGACACTTTATTCATGAAGACTTTTCTGAGTCAGGGACATGTCACACATTTATCATGTGTTTAATGATGAACTGTTCTCTTCAGTGACCACCTCTGAACTGCACTGACCCACGTCAAGCTAATAGCATCGCTAACTAACGGTGTAGAACTAAATAACCAAACACCGACTCATGGTTTGAAAAGATAAACTTAAATTAAAGATAAAATAAGCTTCATCTTGAACTTTTTACAGTTTTGTTGCATTTTAATAATTAGTTATCTACTTTGAGAGTCGTATCTCTAAGTTAACAGTCCAAAAACATCAAGCTAATAGCATCGGTTAGTGCAGAATAGCTAAATAACCAAACAGCGACTCACCTCAGGCGTTTGCAAACAACAAAACATATTAAAATGTGTTTTGTCACGAGCTCAAGAAAATGTGTGTCTCCAAAACTGAAGCAACCATGAAATGAACCAAAGTCTGGTCTGGCCTCAAGTTCTCAGCTCGGGTTCTATAGAAAGAGACAGAACGTGGTCGCCGTGGAGACGAGTTCTATTGCGAAATTTTAGAGGGTTCTGATCAGATTAAAGATGAGGTCGTTGAGGAGCGACAGAAACCATGGCAACAGTTTGAAATACCCGAAATGAGAGATTTGTGTTTAATTTGCAACACAACACAATACAATACAATACAATACAGTGTATTCTTGTATTTCCTTAAATCACAGCTGAATCATCTCAGAGACTTAACAAAACCATTGAAATCACCAACACAGATCAGAGAATACATTTTGATAAATGTTCCTACTAGCAAAAAGTACTCGTGACGGATCCGTGGTGGAGGTATGCTGAGATTTGCCGCGGATGCGCGCAGCGAGTCTGTTTTGGAGTTCACTTGCACACCGCTGCTCATCCGCCAAAGGTCGCGCGGCAGGTCCACGGTGGTCTCGCCGCGGATAACAGCCTTTTTGCTGTGGATCCGCCGTGGTGGCGCTGCTGGTCCGCTGCAGACTTGGCGAATCCGTTCAGGACCTGCTGCAGATCCGCGTAGAGCCCTGTTCTGTCCCGCAGATCTGATAATAAAGATGTATCTATTGAATTCTGCTGCATGTCATGTGGATATACTCACTGCTAAAATGTAAACTGCTTATTTGTATTGCAATTTGACATTTAGTATAGTAATTATAAACCATTGGATGAATGCTTGTATGACTCATACACATTGATAAATGTCATACATGTTGACAAGTGTCATACATGTTGACAAATGTCATACATGTTGACAAATGTCATACATGTTGACAAGTGTCATACATGTTGACAAATGTCATACATGTTGACAAGTGTCATACATGTCAATAAATGTCATACATGTTGATAAATGTCATACATGTCAATAAATGCCATACATGTCGATAAATGTAATACGTGTTGTAGAATGTTAAAGTGTCCTGGACTCAGACTGTAAAACAAGGACTGAGGCAATAGGTCCAGGACCTAAGCTACAGAACGTGGACCAGCGGCAGTAGAACGTGGAAAGGTTCTGTGCAGGACTGAAGCAGCTACAGGCGCGTCGGGCATTGGAGGGGGTTAGGGCAGTTCACAGGTGTAGATGGAGGAGGTGGGGGCAGGGCAGTTCACAGGTGTAGATGGCGGGGGTGGGGGCAGGGCAGTTCACATCTGGCAACTTTATGAAACTAAACTTTCCATTTAGAAGCTTTTTAACATCCATTTTGGCAATTTGCACTAGACAAACCAATAATGTCTTTCACAGCGAGCTAAACATAAACCAAACACTAGCGGAGGGGATTTCTGGTTCCTGTTTTTGGTTCGTGTTGCTTACAAAAAACTACAAATAAAGTACACAAATTGAAAAAACAATTACGACGTTAATATTGATTTGTGTTAACGTGCACAAAACTTGATATTTTGGACACACTATTTTGTATACATATAAATACTATTTTCATATCACTTCTGTGTATTAGGATTATAACAATGCATTGTACTAGTTTCTCTAGGAGATCCACAAATCTATATCGATATTTCCTGTGTTTTGTATTCAATGGTGAGAATGGATGATTAAAATAAGTTATCCAATAGTATAATTATTCGTGTTAATAGTTTGGTGACTTAGGTTTTTTTTTTTTTTTTTTTTTTTTTACGTTTTCTTTGAAGTTTGCGGAACAAACAAAAAAAAGGACGAGATGGGTTGTATATTTTTTGTGGCTCTTGACTTTTTCTCTTTGGCAGAACAATGGGAAATTGAAGATTGCCCACCCCTGCTATTGAGGGGGGAAAAAAGCCTGTTTGGTTTTTAAAATGACAGGACAGCAGCAGCAGCAGCAGCATATTGGACCAAATCCACACAGTTCAAAGTGTTTAAATGTCAGTTCCCGTACACACAGCTCTCCCCATAGACACCGCTGTTGCTTCAGTCCTGCTCCAGCCACATTTGAATGTTTTCTCCTGGGTTGCATCAGAAGCAGGAGAGTTGCATAGTTAGTTCAGCACCGCAGCCTGTGGACAGCTCCTCTGCTCTGAGAGGGAGCAACCGGCTTTCCACCTGCACCCATTTACTAAAGAAAAAAATCCTCTGTGAAGGAGATATATCATGCAAAAGGTTTAATCCTGTTGCAAAATGGTTCCCTCACTAAAATAAAGACCTGGAGTTGTTTTCACATTCATCCACGCTAATATCAGGAACTTCTGACACAAACCTGTAACTGTCCAACAGATATAAGTGCTACAGTGAGCGGGATCAGCATTGACCAAAAACACTGGAGACATTGAAGAAAGATCCGAGGCATTCTCGACACTCATAATGAAAGGATTGTTTTTAAATCCCTGTTCATTAAAGGAGTCTTATTTTAATGTCAAGAGTTGCTCGGATCTTTCTTCTTTCTTCAGTGTAACTCTGTCCCCTTCTGTCTGAAAGCTCATCTCTTATGCCGCGATTATACAATGCCAGAAACTCAAACGTTCTGACTTTCCACTTTTCACTTGTAAACACTTGTTTTATATCACCGTGAAGATTTTACTTTGCAAAATAAACACATTACGCCCCAACATCAATTTAGAATTATAATTAGTGAATTTATTGGCACAAAAGTTGCAGAAATGTATGTTGTATTTCTCAAGTCACAGCAGTGAAGGTTTCTGTGCATTTCCCAATCATGAAGAATGAGATTCAGTTTCATTTCTAAACCTTTCTGTTTTATTGTTTTTGTCACTGCTGCAGGTGTGTCTCCAGCGTCACCAGCTCCTCATGAATGCTATGATTTTTGGATGTTGGAAGATTACGTAGATATCTTGGCATTAGCATTATTTACTCTTCATACTTTTCAACATGTATTTATCTACTGAAGATATTATTTGACATTCTATAACATGAAATGGTTAAGTTAGTTGTTTAATTATCATTGGCTAAAAAGATAATATTTCTTCTTTAAAAATGCTTTTTGTTTTCAGTGTGAACAGAGAATGCTTGATTAGTATGATTTAACTTTTACTTTTACCCTCACACAGATTTGAAAAAGGGTTGGATGAAGCAGACGCTCATTTGTTTCCAACCTCCTCTTACAATTCAACACAATAATACACAGAATACGATGCAATTAATAAACGTACAATATCAATACAAATTTGATAGTGTGCAGTACATACAGTTACTGTATATGCAAAACCCTACCATGCATTAGACACACTAATGCATGGTAGGGTGCATTAGTGTGCATTAACACACACACACACACACACACACACACACACACAAACACTCTGCTGACCCTACCCCTCTCTCCCATCACCTGCTCAAGGCGAGAAATACTGTAGTTAAAAAATGTATGTGTGTCCATGTAGCCAGGACCTCAGGATGAATACTGATTCAGTATCGGCACGTTGCATGGCTGTTTTATAACCGACCATTTCCAAGGTTAAAATGTCATTAATTACAAATACTTAACAGTTTGAAAGCTGGTGTACCTAACTGTAACTGTTATACCACAGTAAACATAGCAACAATCACCTCACTAGTCCCACGCTCTCAAAACAATCTGGATCTTTCATTCATTGTTATAACTCTGTAAGAGGACATTCTTTAAAGAAATCATTATTTGATAGTGACTAGATTCAAAAACATGTAATTTTATCCTTATTTCTACTGGCCAACAATATGCATTTATATTGTCATCCCTTCTAGACGCTGAGACAATAATTATCATATATCATATCATAGTTGAAATGTACTGAATAAGGGGTGGAACTTTGTTATGGGTTTTTTTTCATGTGGATTAAAGCTGCACTAACTGACTTTGGGATTTTGAAGCCGCAGACTCACTGGCCTCGCTCTTTCTGCTCCCCTCCCCGCACCCACGAAGCTATCGCCCCCCACACACACTCACTGTTGGGACGGAGCTAGCCTCTCCCAATATGGATAATACATGGACATGGATTTGCACGTGGATGGCGTGACCATAGAACGATAGAACCGGGAAGCGCGGAGGAACGGGACTTTCTTTTGGATGGCTGTTTCGCTGAGTAAGCAGTAACCGGTGACGAAGACACACGAAGCTTCAGGTTAGCTCCGCCGCTTGTTGTGCTAACTCAGCCGTCTGTGCTAACTCAGCCGTCTGTGCTAACGGACCTGTAGATTTCTCACAAAAGTGGGGGTCAGTGGTCCTCTGTGATTGGTCACAATCTGCGACCCGAAACACATTCTCTTCCTTGTTTCATCAAAACTCGATCTAAAATATAATGTCACGCCAGCACAAACCTGCGCTACTTTTTCTTCAAAAGGACGAATATCCCAATGCACTGCATGGACATGGATAGCTTTTTCGTAATGAATACAAAAATAAAGTCAGTTAGTGCAGCTTTAAACCAGGAATGACAGAGAAAGACAGACAAGGTGTTTTTTTTTGACAGTTTCCAAAGTTAATGTCTAAGAAGAGGGTTGTAACAGTTCTTGGGCAGTTTGCTTTAGTCATTACTATGTTGTTCACACAATAAAACAAATGTCCATATTTGCTATTTAAATGTCGATTTCCATGAGCCAACCCGGCCGACTTCTGTGAACCAGAAGTTAAACGCTGGCTCTAATAAAAATCCAATAATTACTGGTGAAACACTGCGGTAATTGCTTTGCACAGTCGAGTGAGCCGGACTGAGCTTCTGCTTTACAAAGGCATCTGTCTTAGTCCAGCAGCATGGCATATGTCCTGGTTTAGACAGGACTGGACAGGGGTCAGCCAGGCCCATTAGCTCCACCTGTCTGCGGGCCGGGCCTGGACAAGACCTGGCAACATTTAGTTTGTAATGGAGCACAGGGCAGGTCACTCTCGCAACTTTTATCTATGGTGGAAAATACATTGTGCTTTGTCTGCTGTATATAAACTATGGTAATTCAGAGTTTATCCAGTATTTCAGCGGCTGTCAATACAATTCTATAGGACGATAGATTTTATTCTCATATTAATCTTAAGTCTGAAAGTAGTTTCTTCTCGCCAACATCATGCATATGTTTTAGTGTCACCACTTCTGGACACCTTTATTCAGCCATCAATCCACTTGCTGCTGCTTTGTCCGTTACTGGGTTGCAGGGGCAGCGTTCTAAGCAGAGACATCCAGACTTACCTATCTACGCACACTTCTTCCAGCTCATCCATGGGAATTTTGAAAGTTCCCAGGCCATCTGAGAGACAATGTGTCCTGGGTTTTCCGCTGGGCCTTCTCCCAATTTGTGTCCATATCTGGAATATTGGACACAAATTGGCAAAGTAAAACACATTTCAAGATTCATTTGCAATTGTCATTTATAAACCACATTGGAATACTTGTGCAAAAGCACCCAGTGTGCACCAGAAACTGTTGCACAACAGAAAACAAATATATGAAAACAATTATGATTACATT